CATATAACAAATATTTTAATAGTGCACTTATTTACTCGTGTACATAAGTAACAAAAACAAGTTTTGTAATGCTCTCCAACAAATTATGATTGGAGCGAACGCGCGAGATTCTAAACTTTTACTTTCAATTTTCCCGCCTAAACTTAACAAAACATATTTTTCTTTTGTATTTATTTATTCATTTATTAGTATGGTTTTTCTTATGAGATGAATATTATTAACGAAAATCGTACTCTAAGTATAGTATTTTTTAAAAGAAATATTTAATAAGTAATATCAGAAATTTATTTCAAAATCTTTTATCTGTTCCAACAATAAACAAAAAATGTTTACATAGATTACAAGTACGGCACCTATTTTTACATAATTATAAAGAATTCATTTAAAAGCCCTTTAGAGCTGAACTTTCGAAGTTCAATAAAAACTGTGAGCACATTATTAATTAGGTAGGTACTTTAACCAAAATCACATAAGTGCCGAAGATATAAAAAAAACGATTTTAAATACAGATACCTACTTAAAACAATAAAACACTTGTTAACTAAGTAATAAAATGCTATATTGTTAATGACAATAACCTATTGAAGGTTGAGGTATCACAGATAAGTTTAAATGTTAGGTACTTACTTTTTAACCTTAAAAAGAGCAATGAATGAAGTCATATTTGAAACAAGTGCATAAACAAAAACAATAACTATTATCTTTCTTTAAATGAGACTAAACATGTAATGAACTTTAGATACAATAACAACGTTAAAAATAGTATTTTGAAATATTAAAATTTAACAAAAGGCCTACGTAATCGAACAGATTAAACAAAATTGTTCAATTGAGGTGATATCACGTTGCATTGTTGTTAATACGCAAAAGCTAGTTTTTTAACCAACTTAATTAAATACTGATATTTTTGTTATCTTAAAATTAAATATAAAATATCAAAGTTAACTCACCCCACAAAAATAGCACGGTCAATGTATAAATAAGTTTGTTTGTAAACAAACATGCGCAGACGCACGTACGCACTCAAACCACGCCCGCTACCGTTCTCAAGCCGCGACGCACTGTGGCACTGGCGGTCCCTTACTACCCAATACACAATCTAATTATAGCATGACCGGCTGCGTCTTGATAAAACGTATCTTGTCCATAGGTCTCATGTAGATCAACCCAGTTTTAGGTGCGAATTAAGTGCGAAAGGACTATTTTGATGCAGAAGTCTTGTTAACTATTTATTTATTAAGTTAACCCTAACATGTACCGAATAATCTATAGTCCTGAAATTTATGAGTAATATAGCACTAGTAGATAGGGGGCGCGTTTAAAAGGGGCTAAAAGTTCATATAGTAAAGAAGTTTTTTTAAGTTAAAGTAGCACCATTACAATAACATAAAATGCCAAATTGTTTAGCTTTTAAATAATAAAACATATCATGCTGTAATGAAACTTTGTGTAACAAAAACCATGACCTAAGTTAAGCACTAGCTGCATCTGAATCTAAGCGATACGTAACAAAATAGAATTCGGTAGAGGCACGTAGAGGTGCCAGATGCTATTCAACCCACTTCAACTAACATTAACAGTGGGAGTGGCATAAACCCAAACCAGTTCTACAACATCGTAAAACTTGTCTCATACTTTGTAAATAACGTAGATATTACACTTATATCCAAAGATAGAACTGTCTATAAATGGTATTTTATAATAAGCCCAGCTTTTTCATCTGGCTTTGCCTGCCTGAATTTCGGTTTGTAACAGAAACAGCCTACATAAATCACTCCTATAGAATCAAATTAGCTTTTTACTGGTGGAAGATTTCCCAAAATCGGCTCAGTTCCAGAGATTACTTCCTACATTGGCTGTAGGGTGATATTATATAGCCTAAAGCCTTCCTGATGAATGGGCTATCCAACACAAAATTTTATTTTCAAATCGGATCATCGGATCGGATCCTGAGATTAGCGCGTTCAAGTAAACAAACAAACTCTTCAGCTTTATAATATCAGTAGGTACTTACAAATATTTTTCATGCTGTTGTAGGTATGTGTCCTAAATACTGAGCTCGTCGCGAAGGCAAATGCGGGTCATAAATTGGTGGTGAGACAACCACTAGCTGACTGACGTCACGTAGGACGTACTCGTATGTGAAGCTAGAATGGCATTTAAAATTTGAAAAAAGTTAAACGAAAATGACAAACAATAAAGTACCTAATTCGTTATACTGGTTAGGGTGGATTCGACCAAACAAGAGTACCTACCTACCTAAATAAATTAATCTCAGAATAAATCGTCAGTTTTGACATAATATTATTTCCTATACTGTTACTGTCAATGTGCCGGTTATGATTATTTCAGGAGTTATTCTCGGATAAAAGTTTGGTCGAATCGGGACCAACAAACGTTAGTAAAACGTATATTTATTTATTTAAGTATTAAAATATTTGTGTTGATAAAACAATCTAAGTTTCCTTTTCTTTCGAAATGGTACAATTTACATTTGTATTTACTCTGCATTTACTCCCAGTTAACCTTTGAGCAAATTAGAATACGTCATGACACTCTTCACAACATTTTATAGAGTGACTAACATGATAACATCTATTTATACATATAGGTAAAACTCAAAGGTGACTGACTGACTGACTGGCTGACATAGTGATCTATCAACACACAGCTCAAACCACTGGACGGATCGGGCTGAAATTTGGCATGCTGGTAGACGTTATGACGTAGGCATCCGCTAAGAAAGGATTTTACGAAACTCCACCCCTAAGGGGGTAAAACGGGATCCAGGCGTACGAAGTCGCTGGCGGCCGCTAAGTAGTTCCATATAAATGGACCGTATGTCTAGCATGGTCCGACCCAATAACTTTATGGAAATGTAGAGATAGGTATTTGCTGCACTAACGATGTTCTTTCTTACGCCGAATGTATGACATATTGACTCTACATACTCTATTGTGTCGCTACCATGTCGCTACTAATGCGAAAAACATGCATTGGCGAAAAACAAAGAAATTGTTGAAGAAAATTAAATTTTCCATAAATGTTCTGTTTAATTCATCTAAACTTTTTAATTTTCAACCAAACGGATTTTATAGATCATAGACTGTCATCAACACGTCATCAATCATCACAATCATCATCTGTGATTGACTCGATCGAATTATTTTCAATGTTAGGTTTAAACTAAGGTCATAAAGTATTTTAATTTTTGCTGGGAAGGATTACCTACTTGATAAGGAAAATATCTAAAAACAAATAAACCCAGGTGCATTTCAACATGGAGCAAGCCATTGCTACAAGGTAAGGCAGTAGATTATTCAATAAGTCGATGTAGGTAATTGCAGTTTATTATGAATATTCTATTGCGTCTTGCACGTAGAATTTAGTATTATTTTTATTTATACTTATGTGTATCACGATGAGTCTTCTAATGCCATCGGTTTTTTAATGATATTCACGGGCCTGAACCAAGTGAATACCAATTCAATATAACTTAAATATAAAAATGTATTAAGGTCTAATTACATCTAATTATTTGACGACGACTGTAAAAATTTCCGGACAATTCTGCATGTGTTTAGGATGCTGGCCTTTTGTAGTTGTGTGGAAATATAATCGGGTAAGTCCAGGCTTCTGAGTGACGGGGTAAGCTGTACTGGAATGACTCCTGTTGTGGACAGAACTATAGGCACGATACTTACTTTATTTAATCTCCACATACGAGTTATCTCGTCCTTAAGGTCTGTATACTTTGAAATTTTTTCCGCTATTGTTTTTTGTAGGTTGTGAGTATTAGGGATAGCAATGTCGATCAAGTGTGCAGTTTTATTGATTTTATCGATGAGGGTTATGTCTGGCCTGTTAAAATGTACTGTTTTATCAGTAAGAATCGCGCGGTCAAAATATAGTTTATGAGAGGTGTTCTCCAAAACGGTTTCAGGGTTGTACTTGTAATATGGGGTGGGTGGTGAAGTTATTAGTTTATGTTTCTGGGCTATTGCTTGATGAATTATGTTTGCAACCTGATCATGCCGGTGTTTATAATCTGTTTGAACTATGGCCTTACATGCACCTGTGATATGTTGTATCGTTTCCGGAGAACTATTGCATCGTCTGCAGCTATCAGTTTGTAAGTTTGGCACCTTCATGATGTATCTTTGGTAATTACGAGTTTCTATAACTTGGTCCTGTATGGCTAGAGCAAATCCCTCCGTCTCTGGAAATAGCTCTCCTCGCTTCAGCCACTCGTTCGACGCTTTATAGTCGACGTTAGTGTGGAGAAGATCTTGGAGATGCCTCCCATGGAGAGATTTCCTTATCCATTCCTGTAGTTTAGTGTCTCTGTGGGTCTGCTTTTCACTGTTTTGTGCTTCTTGGTCTTTTAGGTTCAAAGGTGTGAGCTTGCAATCATTGTGTGAGATAAGTCTATGTAACGATGATGTTTCTGATTTATTGTGGAAATAGCTACGTAGGTTAGTGATTTGTTTAGTATTATTATTATTGGTGGTTACATTAAAAAATAGGGAAGGTAGGTAGGTAGGTATCACTTACTTACTTACATAATATTGTAACGCCCGTATTCACAAACATCACTGAGGTCTCACAGACACACCCACAAATCACAGAGTTCGATTTCTTGCTTCACTTATTCGAGCATCGTTTGTGAATACGGGTATAAGATTTTCAATGACTACAGATTCCAATGATCGTTATTAAAAAACTTGATGCCACAAAGCAAAGGTCGCATCGACATAAAATTTCCATAGGTAATTGGTTTAAAGTAAATTTGTCTTAGTTTATAGGTATATCTTGTTTTTTCTTTATAATCTGCCTTATCGTGTTATTGTTGCACAATATTGTATTGTATTTGCAATAAATTGGTATGTATTGTCAATATTTGAATTTTGTTCTGACAGAAAAAGTGAGTAGGTGCTATTTACCTAAGTCCTAACTAGTGTTAGTGACATCAAAGTGACGTAATAAGTAGTACCTTCTACTTATCCTATAAAGTCAGTTCCTAATTTATCCATCGAAAAGACAAATGCCTCTATCATGTTGAGGCATTATCTAAATGACTCTTCCACATCAAGTAGGAGTCCAGAAGTGTAGAATTCAAAGAGTAGGTAAGTAGGTATAGTTCCTATTTATGGGATACATTCCTATAGAAAATAATATTTTAACCATCATATTATGGGTAAATGACGCAATTAAAAAGATATGATTCGAATCATCTCTCCATTTTTTCCTGCGCGCTTATCGATCACAAATATAAACACAGTCGCGATAAGTGTTCGGACAAAACAATAAATGATTATACCTTTAAACTTGTTGGTTTTCAGCGATGGCACCGATCACAAAAGAACATGCATATTGATAACTTTAAACATACTTGGAGTGATCGCATGTGTTTTTACCACGATCATACTAGTTTTGTGGGCTCTCAGTAAGTCTTTGGACTCTATTTATTAAGTACACTTCTTTGATAGTATTTTTGGGAAACTCAAGCTATCTTTTATTACCAATCTGTCTCTCTCAAATGAAGGCATGACCTTATGATAAAAATCTTCTAGAAAAGTCTCTAAGCTTATGCGATATAAATAAATAAACATGGAGTATTATAGAACATTTGAACTTGTCGTCTTGTAGGATTTTCTTCTTTGATTTTACTTCTCTTGTAACATGTAGCCGCACTACACAGACCATTAATCTGTGTGCCACACCTACTATGGCTAGATAGAATGGTTAACTTTTATCTGTATTCATTCCAGAAGTCATCTTCCCAGAACCAAATATATCTCCACTGTTGGTAGAGTTCTTGGAAAGTACTCTCTACAAGAAACAATCAATTTCAGTGAATCATTTGAACAATATGGAAATGGCTTTCTAAGGTAGGTAAGTTTATCTTAGTTACTTTTTAATTCCATAAAAATACTTCATGTACGTGTCTAAAGAAAGATAACTTGTTTCGATGCTTTAACCCGAAAAAACGTAAGTAAATTTTCCGTTATTCAAACTTCACCATACTCCAATATTGTATTCATTTAAGCTTTTTAAGTCGCAAAATATGCTATCAGATAAATTTTATCTAAATCAAATATACCTTCTGATATGAATAATAACTGAATCGAACTTATTTCTGCTCTATCAGAAAAGCTCTCACGCCGTCAATAATTTTCACCTAACCGAAAATGTTAAAAACGCGATTTTTCTGGTTTCTATTGTTTGCGTCTATAATGTTTATTGTTCAAGGTAAGTCATTGTTACAATTTTAATTATAGGAAGTGTCAGAGCAATAAATACAAGTGACAATAATTGCTGGCATTTGTTAGCTCTCGATTTTAATCAAAATAAACAATTTTCCGCTAAGTATGGCTTTACCTTGAATGTTTTTATGATCAAGGATAATAATTATCTAGGCTGGATTAAAATATCAATCTGACAGAACAATCAAAGCACCTATACTTATTATAATTAGATCTAGATTTAAAAAAATAATTTTATGACAGCCTATACTTACTTAGTCGTCTCTACATTTTAACGCAGTATTCTGAACCCAAAAAATATCTTCTATTTTATTGTCGTTTTCTTTTCAACTCATCATCTTCATAAGATTCAATCCTGCAATGTCGCAATTAATCTGAAAACATTTGTTATTTGTTGTGTGATTTGTGGTATTTAAGTAAATAAACTGAGTATTTCTCCTCTTTGAATCGAATCCGGGACCTCCGTTTCGAGGGGTTATCCTAACACTGCATCACGGAGATTATTTTGTCTCACCTTTTTCGCTTTTTAATGGTCTATGTGCAAAACATACTTTGATCGAGTCAGGCAGGTCATCCCAGAATGGTAGCTATGTTACGGTTAATGTGATAAATTGAAAATTATTAATAATAACCGGTTATTATGAATAATTACCGACAGTCGCGGTAAAAGTGATAAATTAATCACATTTAACAGTGATTATTTAATAATTCAACCTTAGTACTAACAAATTTCTTAAAAGAGAACAACATCTTGTGTACGTGCTCGTGTACAGCCAAACTTTTGAACGTTTTGATATCATATATTAATATAATTTGGCATAATGAGTTTGGAATGTTTCTTGCATAATATTACTTTTCCATGATGCCTATAACATAATGTTTTGATTTAAAGTGAAAAATAGGTTAAGGTGCGGCGGGGGGGGCCCTTGGGCCACCCCTAAGCCGCCTATTTAGTTTTATACACACATAAATGACCTCATATTAATCACATTAACCAAATCATGCGGTAATTATTCATAATAACCGGCGATTATTCATAATTTTCACATTTATCACTTTGACCGTAACAGCTATACTTAATTAGTTTGGAGAACCTGTACACGTTGGTCCTGTATCTCACGTGCACGCGACGTGCTCTGGCGTTTCTATAAAGACTTGTTTATTCTTTTATTCACAGGTCACGAATCCACTCCAGGCTACGAAGACTCCTCCGAGGAATCCTCCACAGCCAGTTCTGCCGGGAACCACTCTGGACTAATCCGGGATATCTTCAACTTATCCATTTTAACCATATCGGTGTGCGCGTTTATAATAGCCGCGTTTGCGTTTTTCGTTAACGTTTACTAAGTTAGTTTCCCGTGCAGTGACAAAACCAGTGATGCTTCGTTATCACTAAGGACTACTTTTCAGCCGCCGTCAACGTGTTTTACAATAGAAAAAAGAAAAAATACTAAATAAAATAACAATAGCGTATTTGCTGCACTATAAATTAAAGTGCTTACTGCATTGAGAAAATTTTGTACACAATGCGTTCCATTTGCATGAAAAGTGTCGACGACGTCTGAAAAAGACACTGTATAACGACATGTGTTGCTAATTATATGTCAGGCGAATTCGGCATGTACCTACGACGACGACAGACTCAATTTCATAACCGATTCCTAATTCGTTCCCAAATGTGATGTAACTGATTTAAGTAAGGCTAAGAACTCATGGCGCGATTTTCATCCGCGCCCGCGGCGGTTGTGGAATTGCGGTTTTATTTCAAAACTCACGGGAGCGGTTATTTGCGCGGTTATTCTAAGAACTCACGGCGCGATTTTCACCCGGGCGGGCGCGGGTAAAAATCTACAGAACATGAGTTCTTAGCCCAAGCCAGACATCGTTATCCATTCGGAAATTCCAACTTTAAGTAGGTACCTATCAGTCATTGGTCGTCACCCTGTCCTTATCTTAAGTTGTATACCTAGTTTCCAAGTAATATTGTAGTATTAATTAATAATGAGTAGCTTAAACAAAATGTATTCATTAAGGTTCCAATCGCATAGGTCTATTTGACGCTTTGATAACATATGACATAAACGAGTTCTGTTTCTACATGCGATTTAATTGTTCACCTTGAGAAAAAGTATAAAAATAAAACTTGTTGATACATAAAATGTAAGTTGAGGAAGATAGCTATCTTATTAATCAGACGTAGAGAAATCTGCTCACAGAGTATAAATAAAACACAATTATATCAATTTATTGTAACTTTATTAACTTGAAATAAAAAAAAGATAATACATACAATGTTTGCAATTTTAACGCCGGCTGTGCTAGTCTACTGAGTAAAACTTCAACATTCTTATTCTTTTCAATCGTAACTCTTATTCTAATAAGGCTACCCTTAAATTCTACCACTTCCAACCTTAAGTATGGGCCAGCTAAGTCTTCGTGCAGCAAGTCTGAATACTTGGACCGTGTTTACTTTACTCTATAGCTACTGTTACTTCAGGCACTGCAAATTACTATATTAACGAGGCAACATTTTTGGAAGATAAAACTGGATAGCTGAATGGGAATACCCTTTGGGAAGCAAGAATAGCGGCTGCCCTATTTTGAACCTTAGCTTCTGGTTTTAAGATCGAAATAGAATGACTAAATTTTCCACCGTCAATTGTTTAAAATTCGACACTCAAGAGGTAAATATCAAATCGTTTTTTTACTAAATAAAGCTGCAGTATTTTAGATACAAACAAAGTAAAATAAAATAATAACCATCAGTCTTTACAATTGTCATGCTATACAATACTGTCGGTCATTTTGTAAAAACGTGTAACTAAAGTTACAATGTTATTATTGTTATTCATATCCATTTTGTTTAACAAAGAAATAATTGTAGTTACTAAAATACAATGTCAACTGTTACTGAAAAAATATCTTGTTTTAATTTAAGCTAAAATCCCCGAATATGTTATTGTGTTTTAACCTAGGGTTATTCCCCGTTAATTAAACAGCTCTCATTAATGCAAACAATGGTTTACATGTTATAGCTAATGTTACTGATAATAATGTTGCACTTTAATAGGTACCTACAATAAATTGGACCGACGACTAAACAGATTTAAGCCTGTACTAAGAATTTAATGGACGATTCATCACTATTATTACAAACTATTTTATTTTATTATAATCCTTGACAACAGAACTGTTCTGTAATATCTGAAACTTAGCTATTAGCCATTGGAAAACATGCTGCACGAAACCTACATTATTGCTTATTATTTTATAATAATAATAAGAAATTCATGAACATAAAAAAAAATAATTTAAATTCTATCCTCCACAAGACCACACACTTTAGTAACTTAAATCATTTAAATTGTTCATCTAATTGAGTCGAATTTTTAAATTAATAATTTACTTTTAATTCTATGAATACTGAAAAGTTACTAGGCTGTCAATGAAACCTCTAACACAACCGAAAGCAATACATTACAAAGCAAAAATATATAAAGAATACAATAGACAAGCGCATACGGCTCCTCTAAATAAATCGAAATATTTAGCATTATTCCAGCGAAATAACGCTTTACATTTATGTATACCTTATGATATGCTAATGATATGATAAAAAATCTACCACTGGGTCCAGCCAGCCACCAGAACTTTCATTATAAATAATTATTATGTATTTAAATGACTAACATGCAATTCAATAATAAACCTTACCTATTATCACTACAAATATTTCGTTAAGGCATAACTGAATATATTAATATATTGTCAGATCTATCAGGAAGCATGTTATCTTAATTAGTAATTGATGGCTTTATTGACATTTCGTAAGCTTTATTGTAAAATTGACGTCACTTAAGTGTAGCGTGGAATTCTGAATTTCACGTTACACCCATGTGTACTTTCAGCTTTATACAGGGTGTATTTTTGAGATGGGGAAATAAGGGCGAGTACCTTAGCTATTATAACGTATTAACGATAATGTCTTTAACTTATTGAGACATTTTTAAAAGAAATAAGATTGATTAATTTGATAAAACTTTTTAAACTCTCTAGACTCTTTATTTTTTATTCTAAAATCGATTAATACTGTCGAAAATAATCCAATCTTGTACAAACATTTTCCTTTAGCTACAACGGTTATGCTCTTATTGCCCTTTCAGAAATACACTCTGTATTGTATTTATAGTAAATATTATTAAGTATTATTAATACTAATGTATAAGTATGTCAATTCAAAATTATATTTCGATTATTTATCACCATAATATCAAGAGAGCTGATTTGTGTAAATGAGATTTAATAGCTGCTATAATTTGTTCGTATAATGAGTCAGTTAGTGGGGTAGCGCGAGGTGTGGAAATTTGTTAGGCTAATTTTATGTACAGACGAAAGCACACCAGCCTAAACACTGTTGCAAACTAGCAACTATTATAACTAGGTACTGAATAAGATGCTATTTTTAAAAAACGTGAGATTCCATACTGTTAGTTTGATATGCCATCGACTGTAAGTAACTAGACAGGCTCCACCGAACTGATAATATCACCTTTAACAAATTGTGGTCTTACTGCTTAGTCCTACCCCGCAGACCTATAAAAAAATTTTGTCCCACCAATTGTTTTTCCCTGGTAGCAGTACCGCCGAAAACGATTACCCAGTAGAAATGAGCGGTAGAACCATAGGCGATGTCCAAATATTTGTCACTAAATAATTGATAACTAACTACAGCTCATTAAATCTGTTTGAAACGAGGGGCAGTAGACAACAAACTAACGTTCATATCGTTTAATGAGACCGATAAATTCGGTCAATGCGTATTTTGTTAACATGGTTAGGAGTTATTTGCGACACAATTTCTGCGCAGCTTGTCTAATAATACTTTTTTGCTTTAAACAGCTCTTCTTCGAATTTGTACCTCGTCTTTCCCACTAACTGACTCGATTCAACAGCAGACCCCATAATATTCCTATTTACGACAAAACGTTAACCAATACACACCCAAATATTATAGTAACGACTCGATATCCTAGTAATACACTATAATACGCTACGTCAACCAAATAACACTGGAAGTATCGCAGAAATTAATACATTCAAATTTTAAATTATCGTTTTTCCCTAATTCTACCTTATAATCAAGTGCACTTAATGATTTCTCACTACATTATAGTTCCGTTTGTTGGATTAAGCCTCCACCAAGGAAGAACCGGTGTAATGCAACATGACTTATTGCAATGTACACGGCGGTATTGTGGTGTCTACATCGCGATCACTTTTTATAATGCAGTTTTTAATAAGTGTAAACATTAAATAGCTTCCAAGTTTCTTGAAAAGGCTTGCATTTTTTCACTCTCACACTCAAATACGATTAACTTTGAAACGATCTTGCCCTGAAGATGCCTATTAATTCGCGGAAAAGAGCATTTGCTTGTTCAATTCAGGAACACTGAAGTAGACAGTCAATTTTACTTGGTTATGGGTAAATATAAAAGGGTTAAATCTGCTCATATAAGGGCATTTCGCAGTACGTTTTGTGGTCAGATAAAAGAGACGGTGTAAGTTTTAAAAGCTCTAGAAAACACTTTCCAAATAAATTGTGTTGTAATAGGTCATCTGGCACGCGAATAAACGGCGGACAAGCTAAACTTAGAAGATTTTATATAAGATTGGGGTGAATGAACTTGTATTGCGAGCATTTTTTTTGCGCAAGCGTTCCTCCAAATACAAAGTCAGTTAATTAAGTGTCTAAAATGATCACTGCTAAGTGCTAGTCTGCTACAAGATACACGCAATATATTTAATTTTACAGTCGCGAATTATAAAACCGCTGCTCTACAAAAAGTAATTGCGATGTGAAAGCACCTTTATGTTATGAAAATGTTATTGTCATGAAACGCGACGAGGACTCTCCCATTTGCGAGATTACGCATTTTTTAAGCATTTGTCAATATTCCAATGTAAATGTGACAAGAAATATTAATAAATGCTACGCTTGTAAATATTATTTTGAGGAACGCTCAGTATTGCATACTTATCAACGTATACGATCTCTTCACGATATGGGTATTGTGCCCATTCTTGTATATGTTATACACACCGAAATAAATAAAGGTGCACCATTTCAAAATAATTTTATGCAAGGCATATTTAAACAATACGTGATTATGTGCATTCTTCGCTCGAAGTTAAGGCCTAACGTACCGTATCCTCTACAATTTACATTTGAAAATGGTTTAATATGTACTATCTGCATATAAGCTCTAGGTTAACTTATGATAAAATTGACGGATACACGCAAGGTGTAGACTACCTCGTCAGGATTGTCGAGTATAGCTATGAAAGTTGGCAATACTTAACGCTGTACCACCATACATCTAATCTAGGTAAACTTAATATTGTATAGGCACCTATTACGAGCTTTATCAAGTCAAACTTGCTCGTGATTTGCTTTAACGAGTTGGATAATTTCTGTAAATTAATGTCATGGAGTAATATAGTAATACTATTTTTAAAGCATTCTTCAACTGAGCTAGGAATATCAATAATCCTTGGCTTTTCATCAGCTTCTACCAAATAGGCATTGGGCGTGGCATGGTGTATTATTTAAATAAAGTTATATTGATTAGATTCAAACTCTGTAAAATAATTTGGAATACAAAATACAATCTGAATTACTATCAACGACTAATAAATGAACTAAACTGCAGTAAGAATGATAAAATCCGAA